AAAACAACAACAAAAAATAACAAAAATGGTATGAGCGATAGAAAAGAATGAATTTGGAAGAAAAATATAAAAAGAAAAATACACCAATAAAACCATAATTTCCTGTGCAGGGCTGTCGCATTTACCAAACCCACGCCAACATATTTGTTGTAAAATTATATTTATGTGTAATTTTTCGACACTTTTGGTGATATTCATAAATGTTTCCTGTGCGCACTCCCTTCTTAAGTTATTACCACTCTACTACTTATATAATGCCTGTGAGAGAAAGTACTGTGTTGAGCACTAAAGTAGTGCGAGCAAATTGTTTAAGGTGTGAGTTTCCCTGTGATGTTTCCGCCGTGGTTTCAGAACTTACCGTAATTACCAATAACACGTAAAGGAAATATATTTAGATGTAATAAGACTAAAAACAAGCAAGAACTAGGAGTTTTACAACAGTAATGGTAATTATCAAAGTAGAATGGTAAGACGGTGCAAGGACGCTAAAATACCCTTTACGGATGCTGTTTTCATAGCTTAAAAATATCTATTGTATTGATCACCCAGTTTGTGTGACAGCAATATGCTATGATGGTCTGATCTGAACAATTTGTTTGGGATTTCCAATAAGAGTGATAAGATTCCTTAAAAAAAAAAGACAACTGCAAATGTTTTATTTAATGTGAAGCATAACTGATTCAATTAGGTTCTGGATATATGTATTATCGTTCAAGTATCTTCCACGACTTCTTTTGCAGGAACTAATACCATTAACCTAATTTTTGAGTACGTTTGCCACTAAATCAAGTCGCATGTCATGAATAGCATGTTCAGTATTGATTTCTGAAGCTTGAATAGAGTCTGGTTTATTGCTAAAGACCTATGACTTCAAATAACCTCACAAAAAGTAGTCTAATGGCGTTGAATCACAACTTCTTGAAAGCCATTCAATGTCAGAATTTCTTAAAATAACAGAATCTCCAACATTTCTCGCAAATATGCGGTTGCTGTGTAGCAAGTAGCCTGGTCTTGTTGGAACCAGAATGATGTCAACATCAATTCCTTCCAATTGCGGCTATAAAAAGTTGGTTGTTATCTCTATTGATAGAAAGAATTATGAACTGAAGATTCCACCAGTCATAAAACCACATCAAACTATCAATTTAGATGAATGTAATGATCGTTCATGAATAATTTATGGACTTTCTTTGCACCAGTTCTCATTTCCGTTCGACAGTTTTATTCATTTACCGCACCGCTCAGGTGAAAGTGAGCCGCTTCGGAAATGATTTTCGTTCGAAAATCTTTATCGTTTTCAAGTTGTTCCAAGGCAAAAACAGCAAATTCACGACGTTAACGGTGGTCCTATGGATCTGTTCCAGAGTGAGAACTATTTTATATAGATACAAGCAAAAAATCCTTTTGCAAAATCCACCAGGCTGTGATTTGAGTCAGCCCCAATTTTTGGAACGTCTTGAAATCAACAAATTGCGTTTTTTAAGAACACTTGTCTGACAACAATATTTTTATTACACCGAGAGGTTCTTTGTCTGAGTGGCACTTGAGCATTACGTTAAACAATGTGCGCTCGAAAGTTTCAACAATTTCAATTTTCAATAAACCGTCAAACAGAGGATCGGAATCCCAGGGTAGCGTTGACCCAATTTTATCTATTAATTATTATAATTCCACATAACTGGGTTTCATTAAGGTACCTCACACACAATCACCAATCATACGGAGCAAAAACAGCCGGATATCCGAAAAAAGTTATATGGGGGGCTAGGTGAAGCTTTCACCCAGTTATATTTATTTTAGGCACAAAAATATAATTTTCTGAGTAAAACACGTTCTGTAATGTATATCTAGTATAAAGTCACCTCGAAATTCGAAAATCTTTATTCTAGGTATGTAAGGGCGCAGGGAAGTATTGACCCGATACTACCCATTTTTGATACAATTATGTGTACTAAGATCAGGAAGGGATTTTCTGTGGATTTCAATTGCATGTCTATCGTATTGACTGATTTTTTTGGTTAAAAGTCAACTATATATACTGGGTTCCAATCAGTACCTAGGGGTTTGAACAGTGCTCTTGGAAAATTTTTGATGATAAGTATGCCACTTTGAAGGAATTATTAATGCGAAACTTTATTCCGTTATTATAATTACTTCTTGATTTGTGTACCAGAAGGTAAAAGAAATTTTTAAAATTGTGTTACATGCGAAGTAGGCTTCGCCGAAGATTTTGCGCATTTTCGCACTTTGACAATTGGAGCCTATACTTATTTATAGTTTGAACAAAAAGAATAGTTATGATATTTGCATATAGACTTTAAGGCGAATGATTGCTAATTTATCGTTTCAGAATTTAATGTTAAAAATATGCTGTATATACTTCAGCGATCTCTAAAAATGTAGAAGATTTCGCAACAGCGTCTCGTGCTCTACACAAGTGCACTGTAAACCACATTTAACAACATAGTTTGCTGGGGAAACCGTTAATAATGGCATAATACATTAGTATTATTTCATTTACTGCTTCTCCTGACACATCTGTCTCTACTTTCTAACCAGACTGACCCGGACGAAAGTAATACCTCTAGGGAACACTAGACAGAAGAAAAATGAACAATAAAACAACTGCAAAGTGGCTAAAAACGTAATAAAGATAGTGCACACATTTATCTTACAACAAAAACTTGCAAAACTGCGCAAAAATGTATAAAAAGCGAAAAGAAAAGAAAACAATAATAGAAAAACTTATCAAATAAAAAAATGAATTTCATAAAAACTACGTTATCTCGGCCAATGTCAAAATGCTGCAAGAAAATTTCATGATGTGTCAAAGGAAAGTGAGCAAAGTACAATAAAAATGAATAAGCGCGCTCTTTAACTCGCCGATAAGCAGTAAATGGACGAGAAATGAGTGAGTTTGGACACACAAAGCGGAAGATCAGAAGAAAAGTGAAAGAATAAAAGACACAAAAAGGCAGGCACTAGTACGCTGTTATCTGCGCAACACAAACAAAAAAAAAAACTGTTAACTACCACTGTCTCCAAGGAAAACTACCAGTTAGTGGCCAGCAACTCGGCAGTCAACGGAAAGCCTTCCGATGAGCGAAGAGTAAGTCAACAGATGAATTACCAAATGACCCACAGGCAGCCACAGCAGACGACTTAAGTACCTAACACACTATTTAACTCGTAAAAAGGAGTATGAACATACGCACGCACACTTACGAACATAACAGATTTTGGCCAAAAGGAAATCGACAAATGAGCCGGTAGTCGATCATACTTTAAATACATACATACATATGTCGAAAGGACGCCAGGAAAGTATGTCTGTGGCATTACAGAGCCACACTTCACGCTTCAATTTCTTTAATGATACTTATTAGTGCCATCATTAGCGCTGCAACAACCTCGTTAGGCGTCGCTCATTCGATATCCGCCGATTTTGTTGCGCTTTCGATACGCCCACAGCAATTGGGAATATGGACGAAAGAGGCGAGCTGGTTTAACTTCTTGAGATTTTAAATTCGGTGTAATTGGTGCAGAAATTGTGTGTGAAAAAATAGAAAAAAAAAATAAGATTTAAGAAATTCGAGCCTAGTCAATTTTAAAAATACTGGACTATTCTATAAATATTTTTATAGACTTAATTTTATTGCTTTATTGTTGAGATTTTCTAATTTATTGCTTCTGTTATGGTCATATTCTTGGTACGGCTTCAGAAAATCAACTTCAAATCCGCAGTTGGCAACTACCACTAATTGACATTTTTAAATATTCCCACTCTTCTTAGACTACTTCTTAATTTCGAAAGCTTCTGCCGTGTATTTTTCAATCTTCTTCATTTCGCTAAACACTGTCTCCGATAGTTTAACTGCAAACGTTTCTGCTGCCTCAATGACTTTCTTAAACTTATCCAACTTTGGCAAAACGCCTTCAAGGTGCCCTTTAATTTGTCCTGGCTTGACTTCCTTTGCCCATCCGCGTAGACCAAGAACATTGACTTGAGTTTCCAGAAATTTGGTTATTGCCTCCTTTGGAAATTGACCTTTGAGATCGAAATCGAATGAAAATAATTCTTCTTTAGACATAACTGCAAATTTTCAGTGTTTTTATTTTACCAAAACAATGAAATTACTGAAACTATTTTGACTGATTCAAATTGAAGTATGACACCTCGGATTTATTAAAAACAATTATACTCGATGTATTCTACTCTTAGTTAAAATTAATGTTGGTTAAAACAAGAAACAAGTTTCCACCGAAGAACTTGATTTATTTGCTTTATTAAACCAATTTGAAAACCCCAAATCTTGGTGAAATTTATTATCGTATAAAGAGTTATCTCACAGAGACTCCTTTACGTTTTTATCACGCAGTTTCAACGGCAAACTTATAGTGGTCCAATATCGTGTTTCCAAAAAATAATTCCCTTGGGAAGAGAAAGATGTGTGCAAAAATTCAAATCGATATCTTAAAAATTGAGGGATTAGTAAACGTATTTGCAGATAGGCAACAGATATATCTAATTCCACTAAAGCTGATATTAAACATACGATACATAAATATATACGATCGTATATTGGAGAATTTCCGACGTCTCTATTTGGGTGTTTCAAACAACTTGAGCCTGTTCAGGGTGTAATGAAGCGACTGGTTTCGGTTTTAACAACCTCAGTTGGATATCATTTCCCAAATAAATTCTTAAAATCTACAAAACTTTCGGAGATGGTCTTAAAAACCCTTCACTTATCTAATGATAGCATTATTAATGTCGTTGTTTCTTTACCTATTTTAGAAAGTACGTGAGAATTGTTTGATACTACGATATATTGCGGGCAAGTATGCAAGTCCGATATTCGAGATATTTCCTGCAAAATTATTTCAGAGACCTAACCGATCCTGCATATCAACTAGTGGTAATAACAGAAGGCAATCAATATAACTATTCGACAAAAGTTTTGCCGACTTTGTCCCCATATCAAATGCGTCAGATTAGGTTTTATTTTTTTATTTCTATGGATAATTTTATTGTTGACAAAAACGTTTATATAATCTTCTTTTATCACATGAACACCTATCTTTACTTCGTGCTCTGTTTCGAGACCAACAATGCGTGGAAGCAGCGTTTATATTATCTGTAATTCCCGATCGAAAAAAATGAAACCGCAGCAGAGAACGAGGGAACTAAAGTGACATACATACATACAAAAACAATTTGTGTGTTAAACATTTAAGATTTCCAGGACCGTATGCTAATATTTGGTGTTGTCTTGCTTTTTTTGTTTGTATATTTCTCACCCTAAACGGTTAGCAGATGACTTCAAATTTGATAGCCGAATATTTGTTGATCTTTTTCAGTTCGCCAAAAACAGTACCGATAATTTTCGAGCCAAATTGCGGTGAATTTCTCAAAATAACTTTGAGTTTATCCATTTTGGTGATCTCGCCCTCAAGTCGACCTTTGATACATCCATCCTCGACCTCTTGAGCCCAACCTCGGATACCGAGCTGATTGATTTCCTTTTCCAGAAATTGGTTGAAGAGCTCACGCGGCACTCTGGCGCTAATCTCGAATTCACATGCGTAGAGCTCGGTTTTCCTGACACGTAGTTTGGGTAATTCAATGGACATGATGACGATAAATTTCGAATGTCTATGCCAACCGTGTCGAGACCGTTACATTTAATTTGAATATTCAAATTCATATTTTTATAATTTTTCTTTCGTTTCGTTTGACAAATTTACGAAAACAGAAGTTGACAGCTTTCCTTTGTTGTAAAGCAAGAGTTTACAAGATTTTTCACTTTTTTAACTATTGTTTCGGGTTTGGTCTTTTTAGATTGAAAACTTCAAGATATTGAACTGAAAGTAGATTAGTATTTTAATTCAGAGAAAAAAATTTTAATGACAATTAAAAATATTTTAGAATAATCAGAAATTGAAGTTAGTCACCTTAAGTTCAAAATTTTTAGTCTGCATCCAGTAGAAAAAGACAATGTCAGAGCTGACGAGAGTCACGCCGGGCCCCATTATGTGCTTATCTAAAATCGTATACGTCGGACTGGCTTTTCCTTTCGTCGGCAATAGGTACCGCACACAATTATAATAGAGGCCTAGTCCTGTATTTAATTACATGACAATTATTGCTCTTTAAATTGGGTTACTCTGTTCTTCTTCTTCCTTTTTTAATGGCAAAGACACTGCTTACGCGCTTATAGCCGAGTTAACAACTGCGCACTAATCGTTTCTTCTTTTTGCTGTTTGTAGCGAATTAGTGCATCCAAGCGACTTCTCCACCCGCCTTTCCAACGAAGTGGTGGTCTTTCTATTCCTCTGCTTCCCCGGCGGGTACTGCGTTGAATAATTTCAGATCTGGAGTGTTTTCGTCTATTCGGACGACATGACCTAGCCAGCGTAGAAGCTTATGACTTAAAACATGGTATTTGTGGTCGTAACATTTTAAATTGAAATCATGTGCAATTTTAGTTTTGTCAATTTCAATCTGGTAATTTTGATAACATAGATTCACCACTCTCCGGAAGGCGAAATCAGGCTAAATACTTGGGCCTTTTTTTCAATCGTTGTTTCTTTTTGCGATCTTAACGGATAAAAATGGGTTCTGACCGAAAGTTATTTTAGAATCGACTTAACTTTGCATAATATTTTGGAAATATAATGCTGCTTTACCTACACAAAATATTAAATTCATCTCTTAAAATCTAACAACTAAACTGTCATGAACACGCAAACGCTTCTTCGATAGTTTCTTTTCTACAATGAATTTATTTTTCCTCTCTCTTCCACGAATCAGTGAGCAAATTGATTGTGACGGCATGAACTTTGGTAATATTTTTTATTTATACACGTCTGTCAATGACTTATCAGCATTTCTAATGCCCAAAAGCAATATTTTGATCGTAATTACCATGAGAGCATTTTAAGGCGACAATTACAAGCCCTCTATGGGGTGCTTAGAAGCGTTTAGATAAACATGCGAGCTCTTACACAGAAATGGGCAACATAATAACACACAAGTATGAAAACATCTGAAAGCGATTAATAAGAGTAGTTTTCCGTTTCAAAGCGCGCGCATTCATATACATTTATATGTATATGTATGTAATACATATGTACAGAACATGTCTATTTGTACGTAACCTTAAGTATTACTCATACTTATTGGTTATCGTTGATGGCTGTTTTTGGTTTTTTTCTTGCTTCAATCTGGTTGCATCCATAAAGATGTTGTGTCGCTTTGAATTATCGTCATGTCGGTGATGCTTTAGAAGTGACTTCAGCGCAGCTTTGGTAACGCATTCATAAATACTATATTTTCGGAGATGTTGGGCTATTATATGTAAGTAAATATATGTATATGTATGTTTGTAATGTGTGCGTTTTCAGCTTTCACACGCATAATTGGATTATGTGGCGCGGGCAACATATGACGGCATATCTCGTCGCTTCGTTACAGCTGCCAAAGCGTGCTCATAAATTTGGAGTCAACAAAAAAAAAAAAAATAGTGAGGCGCAGCAAGCAAGATTAGCGCTTGTTAGCGTGAAAGGGGTCTTCATAACGCTTGGTAGCCTCGTGACGTTGTTGTGGCCATGCTTGTCAAGCGCCCGTCCGCAGTGATTTCTTTGCATCTCGGCATCTCGTGCTTTTTAGACTTTTTTCTCTATTTTCTTTATCACTATCATCTTGTTGCTGACTGCCATTGCAGCGTGTTGATAATGAACTTGAAAATGGGCGCACTTCAAACGGGTCTTTAATTCAATTTAATTGTGTTTCGCGTAATTTACTTTTAACTGTTTCGAGTGCGCGCGATCGTTAGTTAGATTTCTTGTAATTTGGCGTGCTTTTCGATACTTGCATCGTCCAACAGCTGAGTTGTTGAGCTGAGCTGCGAATTATCTTGTTTACTTTAAATTACTTTCTTTAAAATTTGCCTTGTTCGCCGCAGCCACAGGGTGTCCATGAAGCTGATACTTTGCGTGAAGTGGCAAAAAAGCGACGCGTCCAATATTTCATTTATTTACTTTCTATTTTTGCATGCCAAAGCAAATGTTTGGATAAATATATGCCGTCAAACGCGTTTGATAGTTATTTTTTATGACTCGAAGTTTTCGTTTATGTCAATGCCAATTTCATGGGTGTGCGCTATTTTATAGCGGCGCTTTTTAATAACTGGCGTAAAAAAATCCTATTAAAAATATACTTTCACCACAGCTGGAATTTTAAGCGCAGTAGAGTTAAAGTTTAATTTATGTGCACTATTTGTGTGTATTTATGGTTGTCCTCCTTTGATTAACTGTGGAACTTAAAAATTTATTGAGCCTACTTCACACAAAGCAAAGAAGATTTGGTTAAGTTTTTTCGATTCACATACTTTACGTGCTTATTTATTATTTGTTCTTTAACTATAATATATAATGAATTTTTATACTCTGAGTATGGTATATTACACTTGCCACAAAATTTGGTACACACAGTAGGAAGCAAATATCGCATAATGTATATAATATAAATAATCGGTGTGACAAGCTGAGTCGATTCAGTCATGTCTCTCTGTCTGTATGTATATACACGAACTAGTCCCTCAGTTTTGGAGAAATCTATCTTAAATTGCACACCTCTTTTCCTCGCCAAGGAGCTACTTATTTGTCGGAACCACCTATAACGGATCTCTGCGCAAATGACCATTAAGCTACCGCAGAAGATTTCTCCCGAAAACTCGTAACTTATCAAATGTAGTCAACGACTATGCATCTGCACCGTACAGCAAAACGGGAATGATGAGTGACTTGTAGAGTTAGATATTTGTTCGTCGAGAAAGGACTTTACTTCTATTACTTTCACCAGCAGTAGTTTAAAGAAGTCACACGATAGGAGGTCTTTTTGTAGTTTGGTATCGCACGGCTTGGAGAGGTCCTTCCCGGTCCTGACAGACCAGACCTATTAGTTTTGCAAGAATACCAAATTCAGACAGAGCGGCACAAAGGCAAATCCTTTGTGATGTCCGCTGTCGTCCAGCTTGTCAAGCTCCTCGTACTCATGCATTTTGGCCTCTCTCTTGGACCAAGGCCGGAAGACGTTAGTTACTTGAACCATATGTAGATGAATCGTTTATGGCCATTCCCAAGTGAAAGGCTTTCGGAAAACTTTCCTCACTTGCCTGAGCTTCTGCACATGGCTCCTTCTTAACATACAAACTGACTGACCAAAATCAAGATCTGTAAGCAAAACATTTGAATTTGATATTTGACACTTTCTCATGAATTTGGAACTGATTACTGATTAAGGCTGCCATGAAATCAAAAACAAATTGTTCAGTTCGAATCACTATAGTATATATATGTATGTATATAATACATATACCCACATATTAGCTGCCTTTCATACTGAACGATAAAAAACAAAACCTTGAATGGAAAAGTTTTTCAGTTCAAGGCAACGGTATAATGTTAGAAAAAATTATAAAAATCGAATCATTGAAATCAATATGAAAATTTTTTGTACACTTTTAAGCATCTGTGAAGGGTTTTATAAGTTCCGTGCAGCCGAAGTTGACTTTTTTGGTATTGCAATAGGAGGCCGAGCGTTGTGAAGATTGAAATTTATTGCGTCGTGTCTAGTCGCAAATTGTCTTTGGCGGTAACCATTAATAGTTTCATCGGGTTTTAGTAGCTCTAAATTTAGTACTCCTTGATGTCATGGATTCGACTTTACCCTTTAGCTCGTTGGCTAGATTTTATATAAGATTTTTTGCGTTTAAGGTTGTCGGTGGCGGCTACATTTTTCATCGTCAGCCACAATCCAATGAACTCAGCTGCTTTTAAATGTTTTGGAGAGGCTGCTTGATTCACTTCTAAATGTTCTGCGAGCTCTTCCCGATTTTGGCATCAATATACATCGAATAATACTCCTATTCCTCTGCTTCTATTTTGACCGCCCAGGATAATCTCTGTCTTCCCAGCCAAATCGCCAGTTTTAAGTAGTGCAAGCAATATGTTCGCCATAAACTTCCACCCAAAAACGTTGACTTTCGGCTGAGATTTTTGTTCATATAAGTAATGAAGAAAAAGTGTCCGAAAAGAACACTTTGTCATGGTGACATCTTCGGTGGTTTCAAAGGTATTTAAAAATATGTATAATTTATTCCAAAATTTTCAGTCATCAATAATGTTATTTTTTTTTTATGCCAAAAAAATTTCCGGAAATTGGGAAAACACTCGCCTGCCTCTAATTCCCTCTAAGGTGGAAGTATATTAACTCAATGAGTAACTACAAAATTTGAATTCCGCACAACTTAGTTTACACAATTTGTAGAAGAATTTACATTCTGAAAATATCTCTACGAAATGACATAAAATGTCCTCAACCTAAAGAATTTTTTAATTAATATTTTTCATGATTAAACTTGGATATTTTCAATGTGAAAAATATTTAAATCGGAGTTATTTTAAATTTTGAAACTGCATTTTTTAGAAGCAGCAAATATTTTCTAAAAATAGTTATAACATATTTTTTCCAATTCCTTTTGCAATTTCCAACGTATTTCTATGTGCTTACTATCGCTTATGACTGTTGTTTCGTATAAACAACGACTCTGTTGGCATTTTCAATTTAAAATATTCCAAAATAAATCCAAATATATTGCAAATATTTTACACATTATAGTAGTGCTAAAAGCACAAGGAAGGCGACTGGATATAATTATGATATCACAAAACTGAAAATATATTCGCAATATTTGAGTGAATAATTCACTTATTGTCTGATAAAAAAGATCTTCGCTGAATCAAAAATATGGAAAAGAATGCAGAAAATGATTTTAACTTGTAAATATGAAAATAATTATTTTGAGCCATTCACC